TATTGATGGGAAAGCCTCTGAGATTGAGAGAGATGAAGTGATGATCCCAAGGTCGCATAGCAGGTCAGCAATGAAGACAGGACCATGCCCCAAGTCTAAAAGAAAAGAAAAAATCCCAACAAGCCATGTGGCAGTGCTTTAAAACGTAAATGTCATAAGCAAAAACTTTGAATGTTATCCAGATGTCTATGGAAGGCTCATGGGAATCAATACTCACCTTAAAAAGCTAGGCAGGAAAAATGACACGTTATGAAAAACATGCCAATTTGAGATTTACTGGATGAGAGAGAAAAGTTGAGAACAATATAAACAGGCCAAACTTCGGAATATTTCTTGTGCTCTTCTCTTCACTGCAAACAGTGACCTTTGCACAGATAGAAAAGGTACAATGTGGGCAGCAGAAAAATGAGTTTGTGTCATACGGTTCATTCAGAATTTGTGAAAATAAAAGTGGAAGACATTTTCAAGATCACCCTTACAGTTCAATTTTAAATGTTCAGGGAATCTTTTCTTGCTCACAAGTGAAAAACCTGAGGATAAGTCATTTAAGGAAAGTCTGTCTCTGTTCTACTTTCATCATGTTATCAGTAAGGTAAATGAAGAAATCAAAATGTAAGTCTGAAAGAAGTAGCCTTTGAAAGCATCTGAATTGCACTTCCTCAGGCCAGTGGAATTTGACAGCTAATTATGAGAACTATAGATAGTACAAAACTCTGAATTTCTCAAAATGTACCAGTAATTGTCTGTGTAGAGAGAACTGGTGACACACATAATGGGAAACTCCCAGCTTCCCTTAGGAAAAGTGGTTACATGGGTGAGCGTCAGGCCTTATGCTTGGAATTATGGAGTACAGGTCTGACCGAAGCCCTCATTCCTGCTTTGCCTTTAGCAGACTGAGAGGAACACTGAGCCCCTCAAAGGAGAGCTCCCCACAGGAAGGAAAAGTCAGCCTAAGAGGGAGCGAAATCCATGAAGCTGAGTTGCCAGAATCCCTCCACAGGCCACCCAAGCAGCGAAGAAATTCATGGAGAGAAAGAAAGAAAAGACCCACAGCCGTGAGCAGAGCCAGCTGGGAGGGATGTTATTACTTTATTTCTGTTTTCTTAACTATGTGTGTGTGTGTGCGTGCATGTGTGTGTGTGTGCGTGCGCGTGCGTGTGTTTTGAGGAGGGGGGAGGATTGATTGCAGAAAATGTCTTGATCCACAGCACTCAAGATGGAAACTTTTGTTGATATAATTTCTCCTAACTTTCCTACACCTTCCTTCCCTTCTACTCCATTTCCCCAGTGGCTATCAAGAGCTGTATATATCTGACCACAAAACATCCAGTCAGTCAGTTCAAGTCAAAAATGCAGCCAGCCATCTGGATTGACTCAAACTCTGTCTACACACACCAATTGGCTTGGGGGTAAAAAAATGTAATTCAGTGGAACAACTGGTTATTTTTAAAACAACGAGTTGAATTCAGACAACCATCCAATTAGTTGATTTCAAAATGCCTGTTTGGCGACATGAAAAGGGTTATTTTCAAAGGGTCTTGTGTGTGCATAAACAACCTGAATGCTATTAAATTGACGAGCTATTTTAGAATCAAGGAGATAAGGCCAAGGCTGGACTCTGTTTATAAAGGGGAAACCTGGTCGGGTAGCAGTCCATCAAGCCCTCTAGAGGGTGACGCCTTCTGTGGCAAGGATGAAGTCTTTCACTTGACAGTGACATAACCATGCCCCTCTTTGCAGAGGCAAGCACCTCGGTTCTTTTTTCTTTTAATTGTTTTACTTTTTTTTTTTTTTTTAAGACAGGGTCTCGCTCTGTTACCTAGAATGGAGTGCAGTGGCAGGATCTCGGCTCACTGAAACCTCTGCCTCCCGGGTTCAAGTGATTCTCCTGCCTCAGCCTCCTGAGTGGCTGGGATTACAGGCACCCAACATCATGCCTGGCTGATTTTTGTATTTTTAGTAGAGACGAGGTTTCACCATGTTGGCCAAGGTGGTCTTGAACTCCTGTCCTCAGGTGATCCACCCAGGTCATCCTCCCAAAGTGCTGGGGTTACAGGTGTGAGCCACCACACCCGGCCAGTTCTTTTTTAGAGAAGCCGCCTGTATGCCTTCTTCCTGGATGCCCTATGCTAGCCAGAAGGCCAAAGATCCCAACAGAGTCTATAAAGGACCAATGTGCTTGTATTACCTATTGCCGCACCACATTTCCTAATGCACACAATGATGTTAACTTGATTCTCACCTTTTATGGGTTGCAGTCTGACAACATTCAGCAAGGGAGCTTCCTCTGAGCCATTTGACCCAATTGGTAATGAGTTTGGTCAGTTTCAACTGCACAGTTATACCTCCCTGGGATTCCTCCCCCAACCCTAAATGTGAACGTTCTTTTCTTGTGCTACATTACTAAGAAATGATTTCAGAAAAAAAAAAAAAAAAAAGTGGGGGAGAAGGTCTCCTCCTGAAGAGAATTTTATTTGCACTCCTCATGCTTTGTCATAAAGGGCATTCAGCCGTGTTAATCATATAAGAAGTTTTAGCGAAGTTCTCTTTTTCACATTAGGCTTAAAACATCACCCCTGAGGTGGTGCTGATGGCGCCCTTAGAAAAGATTTCTTTGACATCTAAGACACAAAGGACTTCAGCAAACGCGCTCAGAGTTAAATGAGTGGTGCCTAAGTGCTGACTCTCCATCCCCAGTGACAAGCATTTACTAAGTACAACTTTTGTTTCTGCGAATGTCTTACTTGGGTGTGTCTTAATCCCAAGTGTTGAGGAGGTTTTGTTTTATTGTCTGTGTGTGTGTTTTTTAAACATTTATTTTATCAGAAAGGATTTCCACAATGGAAGCATTCATTGCCATCGCTGTGGCTGAGTCTTTAGGTTTAAGACTAGTTAAGCTGCCCCAGGTAGAAGTGTTTGCACAGCTACAGAAGTATAGAATCGCAGCCCCGGAGTTGGAAGGGGCCCCCTTAAGCCCGTCCTTGCCTTCAGGCATCTAAGCCAGAGGAATAGCCACTCTTTTCTTTAAGATCTCCAAGGACAAAAACTCCACATGCAGTTATTTTATTATAAAAGTGTGAACTGTAAAACATATTTACAAGGGAATAATATTATCATCCATATTTAAATGATTTCCTTTTCAAAACATTTGCTTGCCCAATTTTTAAAAAAATTAATGAACAGTAAAGTTCTTTGAAAAAAAAATCCTTTCAAATCCTTTCAATAGAATCATTTCTCCTCTTTTTGAAGTACTACAAGGGTCATTTCTCCCAGAAAATTCTGCCAGAAATTCCTATGTTTCTTCTAAAAAGCGGGTTTGCTTTTATCTTGCAGATACCCTGAATCAAGACACGCTTCCTTTTTTGCTTTGGCTGTTGGAAAGCCCACAGCCAAATGCGTGTCCCCTCCCTTCTAATCAATGCACAGGACCTCACCCCAGCTTCACCTGTTTGTCTTCCTTTATTTTTCCATCATCCAAATTTCTACACTTAGTTGTGCTTTTTGGCTTTCATGTTGTTTCTGGGCTTTCTGGTTTTCTGGTTTGTTTTGATGTTTGGAAGCAATATAGTGAAGCAAGAGCAGAGACTCTGGGGACTAATATACTTAACGCTTGGCTTCCTGCTCTACCCTTTCCTATCTTAACCTTTCATTTTCCTCATCTGTAAAATGGAGAAAACAATAGTAGTCATGGGGTTGTTGTGAGGGTTAAATGAGAAAATACACGTGTAGTGTCAAGCCAACAGTAAGCACTCAAGATATGTTCATTATTAATATTATAACATTGCTGCCTTAAATTATTTCAGGAGCAAGAGGTGCAAAAGAGAATATAATTATTTATTCTCCTATTTCAAATGTTCAATCTTTATCTCCCCTCTTATTTTTCCTGTTGCATGAATTGCCTTTCAAGCAAATTATTTGCTGCTGTTTCTGCACTTTAATGAAACTCCTTCTACTATGTTACAGGCTAGTGTTTCCCAAACTTACTAGATCCTAAGAATCAGCAGAAGCACTTACTAAAAATACAAATTTCAATTGGGTGCGGTGGCTCACGCCTGTAATCCTAGCACTTTGGGAGGCTGAGGTGGGAGGATTGCTTAAGGCCAGTAGTTGAGACCAGCCTGGACAACATGAAACCCTGTCTCTATTTTTTAAAAAAATACAGATTTCTGGCTGGGCACGGTGGCTCACGCCTGTAATCCAAGCACTTTGGGAGGCCGAGGTGGGTGGATCACGAGGTCAAGAGATCAAGACCATCCTGGCTAACATGGTAAAACCCCGCCCCTACTAAAAATACAAAAAATTAGCCAGGCGTGGTGGCGGGTGCCTGTAGTCCCAGCTACATTGGGAGGCTGAGGCAGGAGAATGGCGTGAACCCGGGAGGCAGAGCTTGCAGTGAGCAGAGATAGCACCACTGCACTCCAGCCTGGGCCACAGTCTAAAAAAAAAAAAAAAAAAAAAAAAATTCTAGTCTTTTTGTTGTTGTTGAGACAGTGTCTTGCCCTTTCACCCAGGCTGGAGTGCAATGGCAGAGTCTCGGCTCACTGCAAACTCCACCCTCCTGGGTTCAAGTGATTCTCCTGCCTCAGCCTCCCAAGTAGCTGGGATTACAGGCGCCTGCCACCATGCCAGGCTAATTTTTGTGTTTTTTTAGAACAGATGGGGTTTCACCATGTTGGCCAGACTGGTCTCGAACTCCTGACCTCGTGATCTACCCACCTCGGCACCCCAACAGTGCTGGGATCACAGGTGTGAGCCACCACGCCCAGCCCAGATTTCTAGTCTTAAACACCTAAAATTATTTTATAAGTGAATAGCTCTAGAATAGGTGTTTCTGGGACTAAAGTATTTTATACCACATTTTCTATACTTTTCTCCAAGAACGTAATCACAGACAAATTTCCATACTTGCTTCCTCTGTAGTTAGTGTTTCTTTACTATTTCAATTTTTGTTTCCTTGTTTTCCCTTCAGTAACTTTTTATGCTTTTTTTTTTTTTTTTTTGGTTGTTCTGTTATGTCTTGTCCTGCCACTTGTGTGAGTCTGTCTTTTTCCAACTCCTGAGGCAATAGCAGGTCTTTTCCCACCGGTCACCCCAGCACTCCTTTGGGTAAAGTATTTAAGAGCTAAATTTGTTGGCCTGTTTGGGTCTATTGGGGACTGAAGGTATATCCACATTAAGAGAAAGTTACTCAGTAACTATTTCAACCACTTCTTCACAGAGAAAAACATCTGTGCCTTTTTAAATTTTTATTGGCCTGCTTGACAGCTCCACAACACAGTGAAGAAGGAGCCCCACCTACCACAAGGTTCTTCATCCTGCTGGGGAAGCCACACAGAGTTGAGACCAAAACGTATGGAAGGAAGGAAGGTAGAAAGGAAAGAAGGAAGGTTTTATCTGCCTTCCTTTGTTTTCTATGGATAAATGCCAAATCCCTCATACTTAAACTTTTCCCCCTTCCTTTACTTTGCCTCCCAGTTTTCTTTCGAATGAATGAGTAAATTGTTCAAATTTTCTCAATAATCTCCCTCTGTAGCTCATTCCAGTGTTTAATTACTTTGACAGAAGGAAGGGAGGAAGGAAGGGAAGAAGGAAGGAAGAATGGAAGGAAAGGAGGGAGGGAAGGGGGGAGGATGGAAAAGAAGGAAGGAAAGAAAAAGAAAAAGAGAGGAAAGAAGAACAAAAGAAAGAAAGAAAGAAAGAAAGAGAAAGAAAGAAAGAAAGAAAGAAAAAAAGAAAGAAAGAAAGAAAGAAAGAAAGAAAGAAAGAAAGAAAGAAAGAAAGAAAGAAAGAGAGAGAGAGAAAGGAGAAAAGAGAATCCTGCCTATTAAAATCCTACAATCTGCCCTGCTTTTATATTAGGACTGTTCTGGCAGTTTCCCCTTGTTACACGTGTGTTGCTAGGATAGTACAAGTATTTTCAAGATGAATTTTCTGCCAAAAGGTCTTGCCACTGAGTCATCACCATCTTCATCTTTTTAAAAAACATGAGCAAGTCTCAGCAGCATTTCATTCACGTTAGTAAACATTACCTAGGAAAAGAAAGAACAGGCCTCAAGAACATGACATTATCATTAAAAAATAAATGTTTACTGAGTCCCTACTCAGTGTGTGGCACGTGTTAGCCCTAGATATATAAAACTGTGCCTGCTTTTAGGCTCACATGCACACACATATACTCCCATGTGTTAAATCTAGAGAAGTGGTGCAGACTAGAAGGATTATTGGAATTCCAAGGAGGGAGCCATTCTGTTCCAAGGGCTGGGGTGGTCACAAAAGGTAGGGCTCCAGGCCCCAAAGAAAGGGTAGAGAGCTTGAGGGAATTAATGTGAACAAAGACCAGGAAATAGGAATGAAAATAGTTTGGGGGAAAATAATTAGTAGACCATTTGATGGGAGCAGACAGTTTGTGTGGACTGGAAGATGAGTAGGAGATAATAATGGAATGGTAGACCATAGTCTGCTTGTAGAGGGCCTTGAATGCTAGGCTAATTAGTGTAGCCTTAGCCTATAAGCAATAAGAAGCACCACTCTCCTTAGAAGACTGATAAAAGAGAGCAGACTACTCCAGCTTCAGAGTACCTTCAATCAAAAGAAGCACAGACATTGATTACAGGAACTTTTGTGAAATGTCTCAAGTGTGTATAACTATTTCCCATATTTGTAACTTTATTATCTCCATCGTATCAGTGTTATTTGGGAGGACAGCAAGAAGAGGATAGCTGGCAAGATTACATCCTACCACATAGGCCAGTCTGGAGATGAAAAGGACCCTAAGAAATGGTAAGTGGCAGTGGTTTTAAAGTAGAAAGATAGACATGAACAATCTCTGGGGCTCAGAAGGGAGAAGGGAGAAAAAAACAATCTCTGGGGCTCACAGAAGGGCTTGTCATATGTTCACAGCATGCAGTCCCACACTGGCATATTGGGGGCCAGCGTGGGACTGCAAAATGCCTTTGAGGGCTTAACTGGAAGGAATCCTAGATAGTTCCTGCCAGCCCCTTAACCTGCTGAATTTCTCCAATAGCATATCTCATGCCAGTTTAAAGGAGGAGACTTAAATGGACATTGTTAACTGAATGCACCATTTTGTGAACTCCAGAGAGTCCTGAGAGTATTCTGTAAATACCACCTTATTGAACTAAGTGGGATTAACTGGGTACCAGGTAACATTTGGGTGAGTTTGTTCAGTCTTCTAATTTGAAGTTGCTGCTTAGACAATAGTGGTTCCCCACCTTTGCACCCAAATTTGAGGCAAAAGTGAAAAAGCAAAAAAAAAAAAAAAAAAAAGAAAAAATTCAGGCAGGAGTTGATTGTGGCCTGTTAAAATAAACAGTTGATGTGGATAACCAGGCGCTACTTTCTGCTCTCCTCCAAATTAAAAAATGTCTTCAGTATTGGTGAATAAGCAATTGTCCATCCAGGATCAGTTGGAAAAGGCTTCTGCCTCCATTGATCTTCTCTTCTAGCTGAGTTGCTCTCTTCCAGTCCTAAATTTACCCCCATCCTCCTTTGCAAGTAAAGGGGTTGTTAACATTTAGCTGATGGGGCACAAAGTGATCAGAAAAGACCTTGTTGCCTCCTTTCATCAACTCTGCCCATTAGCCAAGCAGAAAAGAAACATTGGTTTCTTAATTGACTTTCATAATCACTTTCATGATCACTTTGTATGTGGTACATACTAGATACTCAGTAATTATTTGCTGAACAAAGGAATGACTGAATGCTGGGCACTATCCTAGGTCCTGGACAGGCAACAGTAAAGAAGAAATAAATAGAAATAAACCTACCCCCATGGAGGTCAGAGTCTAGTGACAGAAAAGAAGGAACCGTAGGGTCCCAAGTCCTGCTAGAAACAGCACTAAGTACATGATAGGTACTCAATAGATACGTGAGGAAATGGGAGACACTGTAATATAATAATGCATATAGTTTATGTTTCTCCTTCTCAGTCTCATTGAAAAACATCATTATCCTCAAATAATTAAAAAATAGAGTTATGAGCCCATGAGTTCAAGACCAGTCTGGGCAACATAGCAAGACCTCGTCTCTAACAAAAATAAAAACAGAATTAACATATAATCCAGCCATTTCACTCATAGGTATATTACCAAAAGAATTGAAAGCAAAAACTCAAACAGATAGATATTTGTATGTCAATGTTCATAGCAGCATTAACCACAGTAGCCAGGAGGTGGAAGCAACCCAAGTGTCCATCAACAGATGAATGGAGAAACAAAATATGGTATATACATACAATGAAATATTATCCAGCCTTGAAAAGGAAGGAAATTCTGACACATGCTACAACATGGATGAACCTGGAGAACATTACGCTAAGTGAAATAAGCCAGTCACAGAAAGACAAATTCTATATGACTCCACTTGTATGAGTTATCTAGAGTAGTCAAATTCATAGAGATAGAAAGTAGAATGGGGGTTGCCAGGGACTGAGGGGAGGGAGGAATGGGGAGTTACTGTGTAATGAGTATAGTTTCAGTTTTGCAAGATGAAACAGTTTTGGACATTGGTTGCACAATAATGTGAATATACTTATCATTACTAAACCGTATACTTAGAAATGGTTGTGATGATACATTTTATGTTATGTGTATTTTGCCACAATTAGAAAATTTTTAAAGCCACTTATTAAACATTCTCTTTTTTCGAGAATTGTACAAAGATTAACAAACGCGAACCCTTTGCTGGAGTTTACATTGTAATACAGACCCTTCATGATGTGGCCAGGCATGTCAAGGCCATACAGACAAGAGAAGACAAACATTCAGCCTAGATATGGAGAGGCAGCTGAATATTTACATTACCCAACAGAGCAAAGGTGAGTGCATTTTGGGATAGACGGAGGGCAGGCTGTCCACACGGTGTGATTTGACTAAATATTGTTGGTGATTCATTTCTCAAAAATATATCAACTCCATTGCTTGTCATATGTTCTGAAATTTTAGCTCTTTCTTTTGGTTCTTTAAGGATTAGGAACTTCCGCAATTCCTTATGAATAGACAAAGAACCCAGAAACAGACAAGATTGTTTTCTAGCTAACAGTTAGCCTCGCATTTTTTTTTTTTTATTATGGGGGTCCAAGATGAGAGAGGAAGCAGTGGGAGAAGAAAGGAGATGGGTGGGTAACAAAGATCAACTTCCCCCTTTCACACCCAAGTAGAGGAGGCTGGGGAGACAACACATATTGATGTAGCAAGTCCACACTCACAGACTTAGAGGAGCTGTCTGCCCATTAAGTAATGGAGAGTCAAGGAAAACCATTTCCAAATATTAGTACTGACAAGCCTCCAGAGGTAGTGGTCTCCATTCCTGCTGCCAGAAGTACACCAGTAGAGGCTGGGGTGGGGATAGGATGTTTCTCCCAACTTTACATTCTATGCATCTCTTAATAGAGACATCAGGGTGAACCGCCTTTACCTTACCCCATCAGTAGTCATACCTCAGTCCCTCAGGTGCCACCAACTGTGTGTGTGAGATTCTAGAGAGAAAGATCTTTGCATTCTCCATGAGGGTAAAGTTTGCTGGGCAGGATTCTTTAAATCACATCACAAATGTCTTTTCATCTTAAAGGAACAAACTGTTTCTAAGGACTTTAGCACGTTGTTTATGAGTCAGTGAATACTGCTAATAACAAATGGGTCTTATCTATTCATGAAAGCAAGTCTCTGAGTATCTCTCTTGGGAACCACTGTGAGCAGTTAGTTTGAGTTATGGTACACATAGACTTCAACTAATAAAAGGGCATGTTTTAAAACATTCCAGAATTCCAACCTGTCACTAATTCAGATTGGTCTGCCTGCCCCCACCCCCATTAGTCCAAATAGATGAGATTTTGCTGAGGCAGATTTTCAAGTAGTTTGCAAATGGTAAACACAAAGAGGGGATCTCTTTCTCTCTCTGCCTCTCTCTCTCTCTCTCTCTCTCTCTCTCTCTCTCTCTGAAACATATCACTTGACATCTTACTATTAGGATCAATCGGTGACAATTTCTCTCGATTTATTATTTACCTTGTTACTCACTACAAAGTTAGATTACAACAAGAATGGACGCTGACTTTCTTGCTTAGTGCTCAACGGCTTTGTTTTCCTTACACTGACTCTCTTTTGTTATCACGAAAGTCATTATTAGGCTAATGTAAAATTAAATTAGCTTACATTCAACATGTACAGGAAGCACAAATATTCATCAGTGGGATGGCTTAGAAGGATCCTAGAAATGAAATCAGTATCTCAAAGAGATATCAGCACACCCATGTTTGTGCAGCATTATACACAACAGCGAAAACAACCTAAGCATGCATTGAAGGATGAATGGATAAAGAAAATGTCATATATATATGAGATTGTATACATATATATGTGTGTGTGTATATATATACATACACACACACACACACACACACAATGAAATATTATTCAGCCTTAAAAAAGGAGATCCTGCCATTTGCCACGGCATGGATGAACCTGGAGAACATTATGTCAAGTGAAATAAGCCAGACACAGAAAGACAAATATTATATGATGGCATTTATATGTGGAATCTAAAACAGTTGAACTCATGGAAGCAGAGAATAGAACAATGATTGCCAGAGGTTGGGGGTTGGGGAAATGGGGAGATGTTGTTCAAAGGGTACAAACCTTCAGTTATAAAATGAACAAGCTCTGGGAATCTAATGTACAGCCTGGTACCTATAGTTAATAATACACTGGATTGTTTACTTGAAATTTGGTAAAAGGGCAGATTTTAAGTGTCCTCACCCTACCTCCCCACACAGAATGGCAATTACAGGTAGTGATGGATGTGTTAATTTGACTTCAGTAATCAGTACACAATGTAAATGTATATCAAATCCTCACGTTGTACACCTTGAATACATACATTTTTTTTTATTTGTCAATTAAGTTTTTTTCTAAAACTTTTTTTAAAAAGGAAGTATCCTAGAAGATGCTCTGGCCAGTCACTCTCTTGGAAACATCCCTCGGTTGCAATACCTGTTATGTGCTACTTTTGAATATTTTCCAAGATCATCAAGCTATAAGCCACATGCTAAAGAAAATATAGCTATGATCTATTTGAGGGACATGTGTAAAGAGAATATTTAAATGATAATCTAGTTTTTCAAATCAGACAAAGAGCGCTTCAGCTGTAAAGGCCTGTAGAAGTCCATCACACCGAGGGTTCCAGCTTGTGTGGAATGGTTAGTTTCTAAGGAAGATATCAAGCTAGGTTCAGAAACTATAAAAGGTCTTTGACTTCAGATGGAAAGACAGATAGATAGATAGATAGATAGATAGATAGATAGATAGATAGATAGATAGACAGACAGACAGTTGCATTTGCTTTCTTCATCACAGGAATTGTGACTTGCTGTTGAGAAAACATTTTGAGAGACCCAGGAATAAAAATAGAAACAGAGATGCAGCTCTGGTTTTCATTCTCATCAATAGAGAGGGAATGTCAAGGCTATGGTAATATGAACTTCCCTGGCTTGCAGCAGGTAAGAAATGCAACTGAGAGTCTGAGGCAGTTTGGTGCTAGGAGGAAGATATTCTGAACTGGGCTTTGCAGCCCAAATACTTTCTCATCCCTCACCTCCCAGCATGCATCTCTTGAAATAAGCTTTCAAAGCTTATCAGGCAGTTTGTAAAAACAAAGGGATTCCTCTTCCAAGAAGTTTCCGGTCTGGGATGACACAGGTAGTACAGAAATGTTCCGTTGTCAAGCAACCAAATATGTGCATTAACTGAGGAATAGAAGAGCATCAGCATTTTAGCTTCAAAGGCAAATTCAATGAATTTGAGATGCACAATCTTACAACTAAGACTTCAAAACAAATTTTCAAAGTACAAGTAGATAGATCTAAGTCAGTAGAAGAGGGCTCAAATAAATGCAGAATCAAAGATGCTGTGGCCAAAACAAGTGTGAGTGAATCTTAGGGAGGCACTTTTCTTATTGAAATGGTTCTTTTTATTTGTACAGTTGAAATGGGCCACCTCCTTTATGAAGCCTTTCCTGTTCCTCACTCTTTACCTGGCTACAGTGGGCTACTCCTATCTTTAGGTCTCACTATGCCCCAAACATACTCCATCATGTCACCTGTGACAATTGATTGTATCTTTTTGTTTTCATGTCTGTGTGCCCCACTAGACTTTAAGTACCTTGAGGACAGAGTCTTGTTTATTTGTGTGTATGCACCCTAGCTCAATACCTGGTACATAGTAGGTGTTCAATAAACTTTCTGGAATGGATGATATCCCATGATTCCTTATGATAAAAAGAGCAACAGCTAAACAAATGTTCCTATTAGAGTTATGTTAAGCAAATTTAGGGCTCTGCAGACAAAAGAGAACTGTAAATTCCCAGCTCCTAAATCAAAGGTTGAAGGCTTGCCCCACCCTAGCCATAGCTCCTTGATATGGCTCCCGATTAATAATCTGTTACATCCTCAAAAGAGGTCATTTTAAGGTAACCCAGTGGAGCTCCCATGACCTCTTGACCTTGTTATATCGCCAAAAAGGAGCTAACTTTTGGTCAAAGGATGGCAGAGTACTTTCCTGTGATTCACGTATTACCCAGAAACCTCTGGTTTCCTGGAATTCATAATAAAAGTTCCAAATCCCCAGCAATAACGTCTCAACCCCACAATTCTTGCTAACACAGCAGAGTAACACTTGGATTCTATACCAGGCCTACTGACCTTTTGCTAATTGCAGAATAAACAGATCTCCAGTTTAGAGGGGACTTCTCCTTTTATGGGGTCCCTGCAGTGTAGGCACTGCTTGAATGGTATTTATTTCTGCCATATTTGCTTTCCAACACTTGTTCAGAGCAGGGGGCAGGTGTCTGGGAATGGAAGAAATAGAGACTGGAATAAGAGGAGAAAAGCAGGTGCCCCAACATCCTGAATGAAGTGCCCAGCTTATTCTTCATAAGAAGCTGAGGTCCTAGGAAGATGTGTGCAAATGAAATTTTATTTTAAAAAACTATCAAGTATTTCTGAGCCCTTACTCTTATGCCTAGCCCTGCCTCCACATAATTCACTGTCCAGTAGGGAAAACAGACACGTAAAAAGTGATAAGCACTGTTACAGACACAAAGGCTGGGGAAGCCCAGGGGATAGATAACTGTTCTCCACTGGCCAGTGCTAGTGATTGGCCCAGAAATGTGGCAAGGAAAGACTGCGGTAGCACCATGAAGATGCTGCCACAGGTCGTGGGGCTCCTTCTCAGTTCTGCACGTTTAGAAACTTAATTTTATGTGTTGCTGTAGGACTAATCAGACTCCAAGGGATTGACCCATGATAAATCAAAAAGATATACGTTCATATAAATGATAAACTAGGGGCTGGGTGCCATGGCTCATGCCTGTAATCCCAGCACTTTGGGAGGCAGAGACAGGCAGATCACTTGAGCCCAGAAGTTTGAGACCAGTCAAAGCAACATACTGAAACCCCGTCTCTACCAAAAACACAAAAATTAGTGAGGCCTGGTGGCACACACCTGTAGTTCAGCTACCTGAAAGGCTGAGGCGGGAAGATCGCTTGAGCCCGGGAGGTCGAGGCTGCAGTGAACCGTGATGGCACCACTGCACTCCAGCCTGGGTGACAGAGCAAGACTTTGTCTTAAATAAATAAATAAATAAATAAATAAACAAACAAACTAAAAATGATTTACTATATATTTACTATATGCCAAGAGACATTCTAAGTACTTTACATGAATTATCTGACATTCATGGCAACACTGTGAGTAAAGTAGTATCATCACCTTCATTTTTTAAATAAACAGAGGCTCTGAAAGGTTATGACTTGCCCAAGCT